GGCTTGGAATTTGCCACATTCACACCGATGCCTAAATTTAAGGTGCCATAAAAGATTGCCACTTACCTACTAAGCATCGCACCTCGCCGGGATCAGTGCATGTAGCACTAGCAAGAACACCTGATATCTTTGTGCACGTATTTGACGTCTTATCGACGACATAGACATCATTTGGCCATTTGACTCGCAATTCCATATGAGAGGATTTACCTACCTAAGGTAGTAATATTCATGGGTCAGCATATTCACCTACGCAAATTGAACAATGGCTATTAAGCCACCCTCTGAGTCGGCTGGCCGCGAATGTAAGCTGCGAATCTGGTCTGAATAAGAATTAATGTGAAGGATTTGGGAGCCGCAGTGTACAGCATGCGACCCAAAAAGGTGATCCTGAGATTACGCCATTCATTACTAAAGTCTACTTCCAAGGAGCTTTCAATTCCTCCAAAATCAATGAATAAATAAACACACGAAGGTCTGCGTGCTCCTATCCTTTTACCCTACCCTGAGAGCATTTAATTTGAAACTGACAAGAATATCACAATCAAGTACATCCTCAAATCATTTGGATGTCGTTGTTTCAGTTTAATGCATCATCTCACGTTGAGCAAACAGCATATGAACAGCCTAGACATTAACAACCCAACTGCCAACATTACTGCCAACGAAAGATTCCATTCACATACTTACACCGCATTCTTCGAGGAACTCGTTCAGAGCTATGAAAACAGCAAGAGCCGGAAGATGCTGAATCCATGCAAGTAGATGCGGCAGATAACCGGACTTCTTCTCCCTGGAGAACGGTAAGTCAACATGGGCCGTAAATAGGGCCGCACCACGCGGGGACAACCACTGATTATTTCTTCGACCTATGACAAAAATAATATCAGCTTGAGTAAGATGTCAAAAGTTACCAACACCCGCTGTTTGTATGGCCGAGACGATCACCAAACCCGACTGTGTAGGCAACTTTGACAGAATTCTGACCTAGTTAATGACTAGAGCAATTACTTACTTTTGTGAAACCGTGAAATTAGAGGACATTTCCTCACTCCAAAAGGGATGCCGACCCAAACGAGAGGTTCCCTTGAGAGAGGCGAAGTATTCGGCAAACGAAAAAGAGTCCGCCTCAATTCCTGTGGAGACGATCTCCACTTTTGCGTCAGTTGCATCTTCCAAAAGGGCAATGAGGCATTTAGGAATCTAGGGGCCGAAGAATACATCGTTAATGACTACACCTAATCAGTGACATGGGTGCCAACCTGTCTAAACTTACTCATGTGCGGGTCAATCGAGGCTGTTACTCTTACCAAAATACCTCAAACCTCCCATCCTCCTCCTTCTTTCGGAACCACTCAAGGATGGAGGAAAAAAGGCAATTCAACCGACTCTAATGAAAGTGACCACGTAACAATCTCATAAAAACAAGATTTATAGTAGAGAGAGTTCAGCAACAAGACAACCAACAAGAAATCGGTAGCAGCTGCCACACGACCATTAAGTACAAAGTCGACTTGTGCTTCTTTGAAAACTCACCTCAGAGTCTGGTGAGTCAGGCGGTTTGGAGGTATAAAGAGTAGTGGATGAAGAAGATGCAATACTTTCCGTCTTTTGCACGCAGGAAATGCCGAGAAGACCCAAAGCACGTGCAGCATCGTAGCAATCCCTCTGGAGTGAACATCAAAATCAGCAACCAATTAGTCACCGCATTAAGGAAACATCAGTGGCATTCACAAGTAGACTGAAAGTCGAGATCAATGCAACCATATTACCGACTCACAACCTCTTGGTGACCACAGCAATTAGTGGTGCTAATTATTTCAAGTTCCTTCCACTCACCCTAATGCCAAGCCGTGATTAATTGAGCTGATCCTGTCAAAATAATTTAATATTGCGACGGCAACATAAGAATACGAATGCCTACTAATACCACTAATGATAGTGCAACACAAGTGGTGCACTCACCCAGCCTTTAAAGACGTGACATCGCAGTCACTTATATAGAAAGTTGGGCATTAAAGTCGAGTTAATTCATAACTAAAACTTGACTTATTTATTCATGAAGAAACCGAAACAAAACCTTAACGACGACCATCACGGGTGCCTCCTGTGCGTTCAGTAAACAAAGAAATCCACCCACGACCTTCCATCTCCACTCATTAGCCTGACTGGAAAAATCGGGCGTTCTTAATGCACTTGAAATACTTCGTGCGGCAGAGCGATGGTCGCAATCATCGTCAAGAAGGAGCAATACCTTCCCATGATGTTCAACAAGGTAATCGTTGACCTACATAAAAATCAGTTTTGGAGAGTGTAAACAAACGACTGAGTTATAGAGCCTCTCACGCAAGCTTTTAAACAAGTGTTGATTTCTCACCTTTGCAATTTCATCCCTCTGACTTTCGACGGAACGTTTGTTAGAAAGTACAAGGAGGTAAGTCGAATTTTGCCAAACATTAAACTCCCAATCATTATCAGACAGGGCGTACAATGTGTAGAGTGCCGGATCCACAGTAGATCTGAACTTGTCGATTGTCTGCTTGGCGAGATTCCGGCAGAAG